ATTATTATTATTATTGTAACTCAAGTTTTATTATTATTATTATTGTAACTCAAGTTTCATTATTATTATTATTATTGTAACTCATATATTATTTCGCCAGACAAACCTCCTAGAAGAGCAGTGCTCGAGTACACAAAGAAATTTAACGCCACACCTCCCATTTTTATGCTATTAATTGGTTTTGGGTATTTTATTATGGGGTAGATACCATGATAGCTTCAACAACTTTTAAAACTTTGTTAATCTAACGTTAAGTCCCGGTGTCTCAGTTGGTAATTCTGAGGACTTATAACGCTAAAACTCTGGTTTCGAGACTGCAATGGGCAATGCACAGACGGCCCATTGCGTAGTTTTGCGCTTAACAACAAACAAACATAAGTTAAACAAATAAGAAAAAAAAAGATGCTAAGGCTTATCAGATATTTAAAGAACACTCACGTTACTCGAAATAAGGTAAAACTGGACTTCTGAGCGCCAATAAAAATCAGATATTTAAAGAACATTCACGTTACTCGAAATAAGGTAAAACTGGACTTCTGAGCGCCAATAAAAATCAGATATTTAAAGAACATTCACGTTACTCGAAATAAGGTAAAACTGGACTTCTGAGCGCCAATAAAAATCAGATATTTAAAGAACATTCACGTTACTCGAAATAAGTTAAAACTGGACTTCTGAGCGCCAATAAAAATCAGATATTTAAAGAACACTCACGTTACTCGAAATAAGGTAAAACTGGACTTCTGAGCGCCAATAAAAATGCATAGTGTTTTAGGGTTAATAACGTGTCACATTTGTCATGGTTAATAAGGTTATATCTCCAGAAAATACTGTGATGAACTCGCAAATGTGAAATTTACTTCTAGTTACCTAGATACACACGGTACGTCACGTATAATATATATATATACCCTTCCATCAGTCCACTTGAAGAAAGACATTTTGGTTGCTAACTATACTAATTACACCCGTTAATTATAAACACTGCATGTGACTCTTCTATTGAGAGTTCCCCCCCCCCCCCATTTTCCCGGCATGGCCAGGTGCTTATGGCGCTCGACTCGCAATCTGTGGGTTCGGGTTCGAATATCCTTCACACAAAATTTGCTCGCCCTTTCATCCATGGGAGCGTTATAATGTGACCGCCAATCCCACTATTCGTTGGTAAAAGAGTAGCCCAAGAGTTGGCGGCGGATGGTGATAACTAGCTGCCTTCCCTCTAGTCTTACACTGCTAAATTATGGACGGCTAGCGCAGATAGCCCTCGTGTAGCTTTGCGCGAAATTCATAACAAACAAACAAGCTATAAATCGGGTTTCGATACTCACGATGGACAGAGCCCAGATAGCCCATTGTGTGGCTTTGCGCTTATCAACAGACAAACAAACAAAACCTTCTGTGGGGGAGAACATAAAAACAGAAACACAAATCGTGTAGTTAGTGAAAGTCAAGTATGAAACACAAGTGTTTTATTCATGTGAATGCTTTAACATAATGAAGTATACATGTGCTCTTTTTTAAAAACTACACGTATTCTCAATATAAACTTGTATTATATTTTTTATTCCCCTATGATTCTCTGTTTTCTTATTTACTTATGATTCTCTGATTTTCTGTTCAGGGTGCAACGAAACAGTGAATCACTCATCAGGTTCCTTTGAAAGTACACGTTTTTCTGAGGTGGACTATACGCCGAAAGATTGTTTTTATTGCATATTAGCTCCATATGGAGATCACATTCTTCTTTCTATAGTACAGTATGGTGACAGTAGTGAATTGAATTTAGAAAATTTTACAGAGAACGTTTTGCAGGTTTATGGTGCACTTGGTAACAAAGTGTTCAAATTCTCTGGAGGTTTAAGTTCAGGTGAAACAAACCACAATTTAATTTCCCAAAGAAATTCGTTGTTTTTATATATCCATTCAAACAGTGGTTTAAATAACACGGGTTTCGTATTAAATTACACTACTGTTCCCGCGTGTGTTCACTCCAACAACTTCGAGGGATCTTTGTGTAGCAGGGAAATCTTTAATATTTTTCACAAGCGTACCAGCTGCCTGTTCATCTTTGACGTGCTTTCCGAGTACAACATAGAGATTGGATTTCCTCTCGCTTCGCGAAACGACGGGAAAACGTTTAGTTGCGGTGAAGATTTTATCGAAGTTCTGACAGAGAAAACACTTGTGAAACTCTGCATAAACTCTACCAATCAATCAGAGTCTTTAATGTTCCATTCCGTCCGCGCCTGGATGTTCGTGAGAGTCTATTTAAAAAGATATTCGCTGTTAACGACAAGTTCTGGAGTCTTCTGCGTTAAGTATAAAACAGCAGCTCTTATCACGAGCTCAGAGATATGTCAGTATCCCTGGGTGGCACGAGGATATTACTGTTACAGTTTGTTCGAACAATCCATGACTTGGGAAAACGCCAGTTCATATTGTTTGGACAAAGGAGGACATCTGGTGACGATATCTGATTTTGAGACTCAGCAAGTGGTCGAGGAGCTTATAAGGTCCAAGTGGGTAAACTTGAGTAACATGGCTTAGCTCTTAAAATAATAATAATAATAATAACTTGAATAAAACAGTAAATATTATATTTTGAACTTTCCTTTTTTTATTTAATTGTTTTTTAGATCTTAATTGTGTCGGTGGTTAGATACCTATTTTAGTTCGACCAGCAAACAATTTTTGAAACGATGTTTACGCTAAGAAATGAAAACAGATTAATAACTTAATTAGATCTAATTCTCTGTAATTTTTTAGATTATTCCAATAACAAAAGTCGAGGGGAAAAAAACTGTTTCGTCTATTGTGATGTTGGATGTTGAAACTTGCGCGTTTATCGAAGGTCTCATCGTTCTAGGCCCGGCATGGCCAGGTGGTTAGGGCACTCGACTCGCAATCCGAGGGTCGCGGGTTAGAATCACCGTCACACCAAACATGCTCGCCCTTTCAGCCGTGGGGGCGATATAATGTGACGGTCAATCCCACTATTCGTTGGTAAAAGACTAGCCCAAGAGTTGGCGGTGGGTGGTGATGACTAGCTGCATTCCCTCTGGTCTTACACTACTAAATTAGGGACGTCTAGCGCAGATAGCCCTCGTGTAGCTTTGCGCGAAATTAAAAAACAACAACAAAAACTCATCGTATTAATGGATATTGTCGTCCCTGTTATGCATACTTTTGTTTCAATTAGTGCTGGAAATAGAATGTCGAACTTTTCTTTCTCAACTTATGGCACGCTCTTGCGCGTGCTGTAGAACCTACGATTTATTCCATACAGTATGACAATGTAATTAAAGAACAGTTCGAGATTCTATTTTTAGCACTAAATGAAACTGAACTATACATAAGAGGTAATAGTTGTTAATACGATAACTGCCATTAACGTGCTTGAGTCATCATTCAAGTTATCAATCAGAATATTCCAATAACAGTTTAACAAATTGTATTTTACGGCCCACATGTTAAAAAGAAAAAAAAATCTTTAGTGCACTCATTCATATTTTATAGTGTTTGTGTTTTGTTGTTGTTTTTTTTGCCACATTATCTATATAATAGGAAGTTGGTGGAATGAAATAATTATTTTGACTCCCGCCGTATGCATGGGTATAGATGTTATTTCTCTGTGATTATTTGTGGTTAAGCATACATATGCGCAATGGGCTATCTCTGCTCTGCCCATCGCGGGTGTCGAAACCCGGATATTTAGCGTTATAAGCCCTCAATCATAGCGCTGAGCTACCGAGGGCCTATGTGGGTTAAAAGTATAATTAAAGTTTTTTTAAAACTGAATTTGATAAAATTTGGTACATAGGTTTAGTGTCCCTCAAGGACCGATTTGATTAAAATTTTGGTGATTGAATCACAAAGGTCAAGGTCACAACGAAGGTTATAATGGTAGCAAATTAGGATTTTGAAAAACAGTTAAAACTTGAGAACAGATTGAGATAGAAAGAGGATCTTGACTACTACCCTACATTTTTGAGGGTGTGAGGATTTATTTAATGTATATTATAGACTGGTTGCCAAAAACACTGCGGGGCGGGGGTTACACCCTGGGCATGCCTTTTTGGTTTATCTTATATATTTATACGAGTGGCTGAAAAGAATGTACGTATTTCTTTATATGTATTCGAGTATATTAAGTTTCATTTGTAAATTTAAAAATTGTTTAACTATTCTTCCTTGGCGAATGAAATCTATTATAATTATAACTTTATCAAACCTTTATATATCTATTTGATATTTATAGGATGGTGTAATTTTGTTCTTCAAAAATTATGGGCTGAGCGTGGTCTAACGTGTTAACTTTTACACACTGTGAATCCAAGCAAAAATTATGGGCTGAACGTGGTCTAATGTGTTAACTTTTACACACTGTGAATCCAAGC